TTGAGACCAGCCTGGCCAATATGGTGAAAGCCCGTCTCTACTGAAAATACAAAAAATTAGCCAGGTGTGGTAGTGTGCACCTGTGATCCTAGCTACTTGGGAGGCTGACGCAGGAGAATCGCTTGAACCCATGAGGCAGAGGTTGCAGTGAGCCAAGATCCCACAATTGCACTCTAGCCTGGGCAACAAGAGTAAAACTTAGTTTAAAAAAAAAAAAAAAAGTCTTTAGTACATGATCCTTTCTATCCAACTAATTCTGCTTCTCTGAATGCCACTGACTACAAATCAGTACCTCATCACCAAGGTCTGCTCATTCCAATCCATCCTACATCTTAGAATAAAACTCTATTGCCAAAAGCCTTATGTGACTGTCCAATATATTAAGTCCAATTGCTTGTTTGTTTTTTCACTTGTAATTGTACCACTCTTAACTACACTCTGTCTACCTGTTAAATTAGGTAACTTGCTGATCATAAAACAAACCCCAAGATTTTCCCTGCTGAACACACTTCATTCATAACTCTTTCCTTGGTCTACCAGATATGGCACCTAGTTCTGCTTCTCTTGAACTCTTCAGCTTTTCCTACTTTACCATATTAACAGTTTACGAGCCAAGCATGGTGGCTCACGACTGTAATCCCAGCACTTTGGGAGGTAGAATCAGGAGGATTACTGGAGCTCAGGAGTTCAAGACCAGCCTGGGCAACACACTGAGACCCTGTCTCCACACAAAAATTAAAACTTCAGCTGGATGTGGTAGTAAGTGCCTATAGTCCTAGCTACTTAGAAGGTTGAGACACAAAGATGGCTAGAGCCCAGGAGTTTTCAGTTACAGTGAGCTATGATAGTGCTACTGCACTTCAGCCTGCATGACGGAGAGAGACCTAGTCTTAAAAAGAAATAAAAATAGAAAAGGAGTTTAACTATTAAGGTTTTAATTTTTTTATTTCAATACTTTGAGGGTATTTCAATGGTTTGGGGTTACATGAATACATTCTTTAAGTGCTATTTCTGGTATTTTAATGAACCTGTCACCTAAGCAGTATATACTGTGCCCAATATGTAGTCTATTATCCCTCATTCTCCTCCCAACCTTCTCCCATGAGTCCTCAAATTCTGTTATATCACTCTTATGCCTTTGTGTCCTCACAGCTTAGCTCCTATATAAATGAGAATATATATTTGGTTTTCTATTCTTGAGTTACTTCACTTAGAATAATGGCCTCCAGCCCCATCCAAGTGTCTGTAAAAGACATTATTTCATTCTTTTTTATGGTTGAGTAGTATAGTGTGTATACACCATATTTTGTTTATTCACTAGTCAATGGGTACTAAAGTTGGCTCCATATCTTTGCAATTATAAATTTTGCTCCTATAAATTTGTATGTGCATGTGTCTTCTTCACATAATGACTTATTTTCCTTTGGGTAGCTACTCAGTAGTGGGATTTCTGGATCAAATGGTAGTTCTACTTTTAGATCTTTAAGGAATCTCCATACTGTTTTCCATAATGGTTGCACAAATTTACATTCCCACCAGCAGTGTAAAAGTGTTCTCTTTACATTACACCCATGCCGACATTTATTGTTTTTTGACTTTTAAATTATGGTCATTCTTGCAAGAGTAAGTGGCATCTCACTGTGGTTTTAATTTGCATTTCCCTAATGATTAGTGATGTTGAGCATTTTTTCATGTCTCTTGGCTGTATATCTATCTTCTTTGCCTTAATGTCTATTCATGTTCTTTGTCTACTTTTTGATAGGGTTATTTTTTTCTTGATTTGTTTGAAAAAGTAAAATATAGAGCAAAATCATAATACTATAATCCACATGGAATTTTCCAACAATAGTCACAAAGACTGTAGGTTGATGAGATTAGATTCGTTCAGACATTCAAAGAAAAAAAAGGAGAAGTCATGGTCACAGATAACATTTTATCAATCATTATACTTAGTAATAAGCAGAAACAGCCAAAAATAATGTACTATTAGTTGTTAAGTACTAAACAGGAAGCTATCATGCCACCCCACAGTTCACATACCACACATGTAGCCAAGGTTTGCATCAAAAGGAATAATTCACAAAACCAAGTTCGTTTAAAAATAACCATGAAGAGGAAAAGTCACATCTGAATCATTGAAAGAGGCTTTATATGTGTACACGTGTATAATCTTTTAAAAAGAACAACTAAAAAGGAAACTACTTATTTCTTCCCCCACTTAACTAAGCATTCAGTCTGTAATCAGCTGGTTCGCATGAAGTATTATTAAGGCACTATTTTTACACTGCCCATTTTTATGAGTTTTGTGTGTTATATGAAGGGTGGTTTTTAAAGAAATGTGGAGATTAGTTATTCTTTTTTATACTTCCAATATTAAGTCAAACCAAAGCCCTGATCTTGGCATAAGGTAATGCAAGTGGAAACAAAAACATTTCAATCTCTGAAATGCCTTTCAATTTTACTTCATTCAGTCTATCACGTTAAATTCTTGTTTATCAAAAACAGATTTAAACAAACCCTATATTTAAGATGGCTACAGAGTTTGTTTCAAATTGCAATAAGAGAAAAAAAAATCTTTATTTTAGTAACTTATTGGCTACTTTAGGAAAAATACTTGTCCTTTGTGTTACAAATGATCCAATTACACTCTTTTAGTTATTTTAAAATGTATAATTAAGTTATTATTGGCCATAGTCACCCTGTTGTGCTATCAAATAGTAGGTCTTATTCATTCTTTCTATTTTTTCGTAACTGTTAAGCATCCCCACCTCCTGCCAAGTCCTCCAGTACCTTTCTCAGCCTCTAGTAACCATCCTACTTTCTATGTTCATGAGTTCAATTGTTTTGACTTTTAGATCCCACAAATACATGAGAACATGTGATGTTTATCTTTCTGTGCCTGGCTTACTTCACTTAACATAATGATTTCCCCCAGTTCCATCCATGTTGTTGTCAAAGACAAGATCTCATTATTTTCTATGGCTGCATAGTACTCCATTGTGTATATATGACACATTTTCTTTCTTTATTCATCTGCTAGACACTTAGGTTGCTTCCAAATCTTGGCTATTGTGAATAGTGCTGTAACAAACATGGGAGTGCAAGTATCTCTTCAATATACGTTTTCCCTTCTTTTGGGGATATACACAGCAGGGGGATTGTTGGATCACATGGTAGCTCTATTTTTAGTTTTTTGAGGAACCTCCAAACTGTTCTCCATAGTGGTTGTACTAATTTACATTCCCACCAACAGTGTACCAGGTTTCTCTTTTTTCTGCATCTTCACCAGAGTTTGTTATTGCCTATCTTTTAGATATAAGCCATTTTAACTGCAGTGAGATAATATTTCATTGTAGTTTTGATGTGCCATTTCTCTGATGAGCAATAATGTTGAACACTTTTCATATGCCTGTTTGCAATTTTTATGTCTTCATTTGAGAAATGTCTGTTCAGATCTTTTGCCCATTTTTTGATCAGATTATTAGTTTGCAAGAGTTCTAAAAATAATAAAATTTTAGGACTGTTTTTTCCTATAGAGTTTTTTGGACTCCTTTTAGATTCTGGTTACTAATCCCTTGTCAGATGGATAGTTTGCAAATATTTTCTCCCATTCTATGAGCTGTCTCTTCATTTTGCTGATGTTTCCTTTGCTACGGAGAAGCTTTTTAGCTTGTTATCATCTCTTCCAACCATTTTTGATTTGGTTGCCTAAGCTTGTAGGGTATTACTCATGTAATTTTGCCCAGATCAATGTCCTAAAGATTTTCCCCAATGTTTTCTTGTAGGATTTCATAGTTTGGGATCTTAGATTTAGGTATTTAATCCATTTTGATTTGATTTTTGCATATGGTGAGAGATAGGAGTCTAGTTTCATTCTTCTGCATAAGGATATCCAGTTTCCCCAGCAGGATTTATTGAAGAGATTTTTTTCCAGAGCGTATGTTCTTGACACCTTTACGGAACATGAGTTTACTGTAGGTGTGTGGATTTGTTTCTGGATTCTCTACGCTGCTCTGTTGGTCTACGTGTCTGTTTTTATGCCAGTCCCATGCCATTTTGGTTACTATAGTATAATCTGAAGTTATATTATGTGATTCCTCCAGTTTTGTTATTTTTGCTTAGGATAGCTTTAGCTATTCTGGGTCTTTTGTGGTTCCACATAAATTTTAGGATTGTTTTTCTATTTCAGAAGAACGTCATTTGTATTTTGATAGTGATTACATTGAATCTTTAGATTGCCTTGGGTAGTATGGACATTTTAACAGTATTGATTCTTTCAATCCATAAACACGAAGTATTTTTCCATTTTTGGTGTCCTCTTCAATTTCGTTCATTAGTGTTTTATAGTTTTAATTATAGAGATCTTTCTAGGTAGTGAACTTCTGATGAGCATCTACTTTTCTACTCTTTCTGTTCCTGGCTTATTTCACTTAACATAATTCCTTCTCATTAACATTCTGAGAATGCATCTAATAACTAATAACTATTACGTAAATAACATATGCTATTAAGCCAAAGAATCTGGTTTTCCTTTAAAACAGCATTCAACAATGGTAATTGTTAAAACAAAATAACAATAAAACTTAAGTCTGATTCTGATATATTTGAGGACATAGTAACATGAATATAATCAACCTTTTTCTGATAAATCACTAGAGATAGACCTTACATGCCTATTCATGCCTCATTTCTCAGCTCACATTTTGCCACTGGGCAATTCTTATGAACATATAGTTATATATTTATCCCCCTATATATCACTGTAAGCCTTGTCGGTGTCTTATAGCATGGGGATTAGCTTAGTTATATGGAAGATTTCACTCTGTACTCGCTATTGTGGTGGAATTTCTTTTCACAGTCAATTTTAACCGTGGGTCTTTCTCTTTGCTAGGCCCTAGAGGTAGGTGAAGAAATACAAACGGAGTACCTGACATACAGTGCTTATAGCAGTGAAATAATCTACATTTAGAAGAATGTAACCTTCTTAATGTTATACTTACTGATAAACTTGTTTTGCATAGTCTCCAACAGGGCTTGGTGAGCATCTTCAGCTTGTAAAGCATGTGAACATTCTCTAGCCAGTATGGTGCGCACAAGATGTTCTCCACATCCTAGAAATCCAAAGAAACCAACAGTTGAAGAAAATCAGCACAGAACACCCTGCTTATTTCAGTAGCTTTAGAACACTCTTATGCATCATTTAAGAGAGTAGTTAGCTTGGAAGATAATTCAGTGAGGGATAAAATGACTTCCATGAGCAATCTGGTAATTTTAGTAAAAGAGATTCAGAATAAACTACACACAAAGTTTATCAACCAAAAACAAACCAATACAAATTCATATGATACATAGTTCTCTATTTAGCTAATATGTATTATGACTGGTGTTAGGCACTAACAAAAAAAATCCTCCTAAAAATATTATATGTAATTGTTAAACCACATAGGTGCATTTCAATATACACTCATTGCCACAAATACTATCAGTTCATAGAAGTATGAATTTTTTTTAGAAATTGCCAGATATTTGCCAGAAATGGCTTCCCTGTAGTTTTTGGTAAAGAGCAAATGTAAACATCTTTCAGGATCTAAATATATATTTGTGAATGAATATCTATACTTAAAGGCAGATCTAAATACATAATTCAATATATAACTCTGTGGCATTTACTATTCAGTAAATTTTTGCAATATTGTTTTTATAATGGTGAAAAAGATGACAATAAAACTAACAGAAAGAAACCGTGTTTGACACTTACTATGTACACTGTGCTAAGCTCATGAAGCACCATAAAGTTAAATTCCCTTTATGCACATATTTGATGTTGAACAGTGAAATGTTATACTTTAAGACAATAACAATTGCTAGGAAATTGGCATATTATAAACTAAATGAATGTTCAGAAGGTTATCTACACATGCCTGAAGTCAAACAGCTAAACCACATGAAGTTAACATTACATCATACACAATGTATATCAGAAATTCCCTGTAAATTCCTGCATCCTGTTGTGATTGATCTTTTTACCAAGAAACTTTTAAAATTACCACTTATATTTTCTGACATTGGTCATCTTTAACAAGGAGTCATGACACCAAAGCTTATTCTCCTGTAGGTTCCATTCAAAGAAAGTTTGACTTCCGTGGTTTTACCTACAAAATCCGAAGTTTTCTTAGAATATGCTGCCATAGCGCTAAAGTATGATTCAAAGGCAAACAGTTCCACTCTTTAATCACTAAGATTAGAAATAAGTCTTTCATTATATACTCTTTCTGTCCTTACTTATCCAAGTATGTGTATGTTTTTACATCTTAGCAGAAAACATGGATTATAAAAGACCTGACAAGAAAATTAGAAGTGAAAAAATACCAAGTTCTTAAAAAACAAAAAATACACACTTATTTACTATCAATAAACATGACAAATGAATGGATTAAAACAAAAATTAAATTCATAACTCATGTTTTTAAAAGCACTGATCACCTTTGGAGGATGGATGAAACCAATTTACTATTCTGAAAGCTGATAAAAGAAAACAAGCAAGCATGTTTCTTTCCTTCTTATAGGAACTATATACCAGAGTAACCAAACAATTTATGAAGGAATATTTTCTCTATAGAAGTATCCCAGATAATAAATGAAAAAAGAAATTAATAGAATTGGGATATAACCATTTGCAACCCATAATGTAGTAATTGATAGAGGCAATCATCAGTGGCTGCTAATATCACAGAAAGATACCAAACACTATGTATCTCTTGAGAAAATCATACCTATGTAGTCTTGCCCACTGCCCAAAAAAACTATACTTGAATCAGATTAGGCCTGTAAATACAGTTATCAATTTCTAGAAATAAAGAACATCTGCAAAAAAAACCCCTACAGTTACATAATACTTTATGACAAAACACTGTTTCTCCCTAGGATCAGAAGCAGGGCAATGGTGTCTGCTTTCATCACTTCTCTTCACAATGTACTGGAGATTTCAGCCATTGTAATAAGGCAAAGGGGGAAAAAGGCAGAAAGAGCAGAAAGGAAGAAGTAAAACTGTCTCTATGCACAGATGATATAATTGTCTATGTAGAAAATCCCAAGGGATCTACAAAACAACTACTAGAGTTATCTCTCCATATTCTTCCTGTCTGATTAGTCTAGGACAAAGATTGGCAGAAGATACCTGCCTGGTACTTATCAGTCCTCAAAATATGGACCTGACCTTCATTTCTTTCCCCATCCATTCATTTGCCAGGCTGTTACTGAGCCACAACTCTCTGGAAAGCCCAGAGTACACAGCACTTAACAAGGGTGCTACTACATACTGTAAGACCTCCCCAGAAGTATCAGACCTCTGCTTGGTTACCTAGCATTCACTTTACCGTCATTCTGGCCAGTCCTGATGTCAATACCCTGATTGTGTATTCTACATACCAACCTCAAGGGTTCATATAAAAACCCTGGATTCAGCAGGAATCCTGGACATTCCCAAGACCTTAGGAATGCCAGTCTCTATGGCCAGGTCATTTCAGATTAATCCTAACCCTTATTCCAGCCCCAGTTCACTCTTTCCCAGTATGTTTCCTGTTGCTGAGAATTCAGCATGTCCCATGCTCAAAGACTTCTGAATTATAATACATGTCTTCTCTTGTGGGTATACCTAAACTTTCAAAACCCATACTGAAGATGGACTCCAAATAAAAAATTGCAACCCCCAACTTCAACACACACACACACATATAAACAACCATAAGGAAGAATAAGCAACAGCAAAAAACAAACAAAAAAAACCTATCATTTCAAGAAGTAAAAATAATTGGACAGAGGTTGAAAAAAAAAATTATAAAAGGCCAAATAGTAAACATTTTAGGCTTTGAATGCTACATGTAATTTCTGTCTGTCAAATCTTCTTAATTTTTTGCAACAAGTCTTAACAACTAAAAAATCATTCTTAGCTCATGAGCTATACAAAAGCAGGCCCACAGGTCATAGTTTGCCTATCCCTGAAACAGAGCAAACTGTAATACAGTAAGAAAAAGAAAGGGGCCGGGCGCGGTGGCTCAAGCCTGTAATCCCAGCACTTTGGGAGGCCAAGGCGGGTGGATCATGAGGTCAAGAGATCGAGACCATCCTGGTCAACATGGTGAAACCCCGTCTCTACTAAAAAAACTACAAAAAATTAGCTGGGCATGGTGGCGCGTGCCTGTAATCCCAGCTACTCAGGAGGCTGAGGCAGGAGAATTGCCTGAACCCAGGAGGCGGAGGTTGCGGTGAGCCGAGATCGCGCCATTGCACTCCAGCCTGGGTAACAAGAGTGAAACTCCATCTCAAAAAAAAAAGGGAGCCTAGAATGATAAAGAAAAAGAAAATGAGGAGTTAAAAGGCCCAGAGTGGAAAATGATAATGCCCTTAGGCATTTTGAAAGAGATAAAAGAAAGGAGAAGAAAACACTAATATTTGAATAATGAATAAGAATTTTCCAGAATTTAAGTTATTAAACTAAAGAGCCACATAAAGTTCCAAAAAAGGGGAATAAAAATTAAAATCCATTCTTAGTTGTATCATTTTGAAGCCCTGGACCAAAGACAACAAGAAAATATTTAAAAACTAACCAAAAAGAAAAGTGAAAAAAAATCACCTACAAAAAAATTCAAAAATTTTAAACTGATAACTAAATATCTCCAAGCAACAACATAAGCCACAAGACTAATATCTTAAAGATGCTATGGCAAAAAACAATCAGAAAAAAACACTGCCAACCTGGAATCGGTTAAACTACCATTCTAGAGTGAGGGTGAATAGAGACTGTTTCAGACGTGTAAAGACAAATTAATTTCTTAGAGATTTTAACTCCCAGCTCAATTTTACTCTGCCCAACACTACTACTTGTCACCATTCTTGCTGAATTTAATATTAATCTAGATGATTCTCCCAATATCTTGGCTTCTAGGTATTCTGACATCCTCTCCTCCATTTATGCACACTACCTGATAAACTCACTCCCATCTTTAGCAGTAATATGAACTCCTGAGTGATCTCAATCGCAATCATCTCACTTCTATCTCTCTAGCTCCCTCTAACTCCAACATTCCCTCCATCTCACCAAAAACTGCCATCCATTAATTCTGCTGCCTTTTAACTATTCCACAACCTACTCAGGTCCTCACCTCTATTCTTATCCAACTAAAATTCCATGCTTCATCAACTTACATCCATTCCCTTACTCCTGAAAGCCTCCCTGTTTCTCTCACTTCATCAAACATGTCTGGCGAAAGCCCACCCTGGAGTAACAGTCAGAATAGCTATTCTGGGCTGCAAAAACAAAGCCCAAATTTCAGTGGCTTAAAACACAATTCTCATTAATGTTATAGGTCATACTTGCATCGCCTAAAGATGTGCTTCACACACTCACTCACTCAAACCTAAGCAAAAAGAACAAACCTACGCAGACAGAGACTCCATCACCTGTAAATGCACTACCTGAATCACATACTTCCCCTCTACAAGAACAAGAGGGCCACCCTGCTGTTCCAGAGGGCTGTTTTACCACTTTAGGCTGAAAGTGACAAATATCATCACCATTTCAGTCCACTGGCTAGAAAAAGCTACATGTTCTTAGGCAACTACAAGGGGCCTGTGAAATATGGGGGATAGATGGATCTTCAGAGAGCATTAAGTTGAATGTCTCTGCCATATCTGACTAAATACAACTTTCCATGCCCACACTTGCATAGCTAAGCATGAGGCACAGCAGCGTGACTGAGGAGTGACATGCATGAGCATCAAGGCCCCGCCATGGCCACTGAGTGAGATAAATTTTAAAATAATAATAATAATAACAAACCACATACTTTGAGGAAGGCAGGAGAGAAAGGACAGACCTGAAAACCAGAGGGTTTTCAGGGTAGCCTGCTGGGTAGCCTGCCTAAAGCCAGTCTCTTCCCATGCATCTTTTTACACGAGATTTTTTAAATTTAAGTTTAAATTTTAAAAACTTGCCTCTTTAGTCACTGCAATTAGTTCTATTTTTAAATCAAGATGAATTCCTATCATAAATAATATAAAATTACTATTTAACCATTTTTAAAGTATACAATTCAGTGGCATTAAGTACATT